AGTTGTATTATTTTTACGATATTAATATTGTTATTGATGTTATTATTGTTGTTGTTATTGTTGTTGTTATTGTTGTTGTTGTTATTGTTGTTGTTGTTGTTCAGGTTCGTCGTGATAGTCAAGCTTATATCTTTGTGATACTTTTTCTTATTTCCTTTTGTCATTTTATTATTACTGTTGTTACTTACGCTGTTATTATTATTATTATTGTTGTTGTTGTTGATGTTGTTGTTGTTGTTGTTGTTACTACTGCTGCTACTACTACTATTGTGGTGTTTAGTAATCTTGTTATTATTAACATTGTTGCAGGGCCCACTGTTACTGTTGTTGTTATTATTATTCATGTTGTTGTTGTTATTGTTATTCGTGTTGTTGTTGTTATTGTTATTGTTGTTATTCTTATTAGCATTAATTGACGCCATGTTCTGAACGTTACCGTTATTTAAATTATTAATGTTATTATTGCTACTGCTATTATTATTAATACTATTATTATTATTTTTATTGTTGTTGTTGTTATTATTGTTATTGTTTACATTATCATCACCCCAAAGTTCGTCGTTATAATACTTCCTACCCTTATAAACATTCAACCGGATGACGTCATTACTAAAACAGCACTTCCGGCGGCGACTATTACTACCACTCCCGCCAAAACGCTCTCCAACCCCGGTCCTGACCTTTGCACTCTTGACCTTGACATTCACGTTGGTATTGGCAGCGCTACTGCTAAAATTACGACGATTATTTACAGTGTTACTACTGTAGCTGATATCCAAGCCACTACTGTCACCCCGATTCTGATTGGTCAGTTTATACTCTAGAGATTTTTTAGAGATGGTGCGGAAAATGAGGGCATAGGAGGTCATGATGATGAGGAGGGGTATGATGAAGGTGAAAAGGGCAGAGGTCAGGCAGTACAAGGGCTCTTGCCATTCGTAAATGTAGGTTGTCACGCACTGTACAAATTCTACGTTCTCCATCGGGGCTTGCTCTACTGAGAATATTAAGAGCTGGAAAATAATAGGAATAATAATAAGATGTTTTTATTGTTATTACTATTATTATTATTGTTATTATCTTCCTTATTGTCGTTGTTATTTCTTAAAAATTTTAAAAATTTTATATTTGCTATGGCGGATGATCTAGACGTTAAGATTATTGCTATCAGTATTAATAATAATAACAGCAAGAACTCTTTTATTTTCAAAGCCAGGCCAGGCCAATAAATGCTTAAAACAATGAAATACTAAAATGATAAAACGCCAATAAATGAAACTTAATTAAAAGCCACTATTCTCATCTCGAAAGAAGAAGCGGAACAGAGCGGTGAAGTTTAATCAAATTTCTATCATAAATTGTTCCTGTCAGAATAGAATGCCGTGTGATAACCTTACAACAGACCCTATCAACTCATCCTTAAAAGAAACCGACCAGAAATTTTTAGACAATGAAAGATTAAAGTTGTTATAAAAACCAATTGGCGATAATTCGAAAGTATTTATAATTATTGAGCAGTGTTTGTAACTGCCATTTAAATAGCCATGCAAATTAGTGGAATATTTATTCATCTTATATTGTTTGGATGATTCAAGGTTGCTATCATGACTCTGACTTTCAACCTGCTTGTGATCGCGGATAAAATCATGTTTTGTCTTTCCGTGTATCTAGTATCTTGCCAGAGTAGTAGTAGTAGTAGTAGTAGTAGTAGTAGTAGTAGTAGTAGTAGTAGTAGTAGTAGTAGTAGAGTGAAAGAAGCAGTAGTAGTAGTAGTATTTTTTTGAAGTAATATACGAACACATAAATTAATTTTTATGTTGAATGGCGTGGAGTGATTGATGGATGGGTTAATAAAAGATATAGACGATAAAATAGTGATGCGAGATGAATGAATAAATGAATGAATGAATGAATGAATGAATAAATGAATGAATGAATGAATGAATGAATGAATGAATGAATGAATGAATGAATGAATGAATGAATGAATGAATGAATGAATGAATGAATGAATGAATGAATGAATGAATGAATGAATGAATGAATGAATGAATGAATGAATGAATGAATGAATGAATGAATGAATGAATGAACGAACAAACAAACGATTAAATGAATGAATGAATGAAATGAATGAATTAATGAATGAAATGAATGAATTAATGAATGGAATGAATGTATGAAAATTTTTCAGAAATTTTAATCAAAAGTTTTTAGTCATATTAAGTTCTAATCATATTAAAGCAGATTTTTTCGGACAGCCTAAAATAAAATTTTACTTTGTATTGCACCCAGGGGAAAATTAAAAATGGATGAATGAATGAAACAAATAAATGAATAAACGAATGAATGTATGACTAAACAAGTGAATGAGTGAATGAACGAATGAATGAACAAATGAATGGATGAATGACTTGAATGAATGAATGGATAGCCAAATGAATGGTTGAAGGAACGGGGAAAAAATAAATTGAAAGATCGACAGACAAGACAAATTTACTTACGAAGAAACCAACGGATGAGTGGCCAAATGAATGAATGAAGGAATGAAAGAAGAAATGGAAAAAAAATGAAAGAAGGAATGAAAGAGCGAATGAAGAAAAGAAAAATGAATAAACAAGAAAATAAATGAATGATTAAACGAACAAACCAAAAAAAATTAGCCGACCAAAAGTTCCTTTAAATAATACAATTTTGAAAAAGCTCATTCGAAAATAATTTTATTTTATTAGCAGTTTATTTCTCTCTCTACCTCTCTTTCTCTACCTCTCTTTTTTTCTCTCTCTCTCTCTTCCCCCTTTTATTCTTTTTCTCTCTTTTTAATTTTCTTCTTTTGAATTTTTATCTTAGAATACTCTGAAAATATTTTTTAGTATTTTTTGGCAAGAAGCATCCAACAGTTTTGAAATTACCTTCCAATACTAAACCAGTACTAGATTAAATTATATTATTTTATATTCTTCAGTTTCTTCTCTTTTAATTTTTTTCACCGAAACAAGGTTTGTCTTTTTTATTTTCATAATGTTTTTAGTTTTTAATGTTGTCTTTTTTTTGTGTGTTTCTGAGTTTTTTTTCGTTTTTTGATAAAGTTTTCACTTTTTCGTCATTGTTCTATGTATTATTATGATTTCCTTATAAAATATTTTTTATTATAATATTTTTTATTATTTTCTTTACATTTTCATGAAGTGTTTTTTTCTGTCAGCTTTCAATTATTTTATTCTCATTTCTACTTTCCATAAAATTTTATTCTTTGCTTTTCATTTCTTGCTTTCTATGATTTCTTATTCTTCGTTTTTTGTTTCTACCTTTCTATAGTTTCTTATTCTTTGTTTCCCGTTTCTCGCCTTCCATAATTTCTTATTCTTTGGTTACGTAGAAAGTATTACCACGCAAACATTCTTCAACCTTTGTGGCATTTAAAATGAATATGTATATCTGTTGGTCTGTTTGTGTGTGTTTGTGTGTGCGTCTCTAACTATTTTTTTCTGTCCTCTTTCTCTTCTTTTGTTCTTTTCTTCCCTCTCTCTTTTTTTTCTTTCTTTCTCTCTCTCTTTCTTTATTTTTCTCTCTCTTGCTCTTTCTTTTCAACTCATCATCTTTCTCTCCTCAAATTTTTTTTCTAATATTGTTATTCATATTCACTTTTCGTTTTCTGTCTGTTTTTCTGTCTGTTTCTCTCTATCTCTCTCTTTCTTTCTCTCTTTCTTTCTCTACCTCTCTCTCTCTTTCTCTCTTTCTTTCTCTACCTCTCTCTCTCTCTTTCTCTCTCTCTCTCTACCTCTCTCTCTCTCTCTCTCTCTCCTCTCTCAGTATTTCAACATATTTTCATATTTTGGATATGAAACTCCCCTACGTAAGTACATGTGTCTTTGGGTTATATCACCTTAGACAAAAGCCTGAGAACAGATTGAAGAAAAATAATTTGGCGCTTCATAATGAAGCTTAAAAGATTCAAATAATTTCTAGCGTTTTTTGTTTTACAAGAAGTTTAGTTTTTTTAATATATGGGGGTTGTTCTTTTTAGTTCATTTAGTTTTAATGTGTGTGTGTGTGAAGAGTATGTGTGAAATGTGTGTCTGTGTGAGTATGTGTGTGTGTCTGTGTGAGTGTGTTTCTTCCAAGAATCGCCTCCGAACTTACATGGAAAAAAATTTGAAAAATAAATTTCACACGTGTAAGATGCTTAAAGCCGAATAATATATCTGTTGTTTTTCTCTCCTTTCTTTCAATCTCTTTCCATTAGCTCACTCATTCTTCCATTCATCAATTAATTTATTAGTTCATTCATTCGTTCGTTCGCTCATTCATTCATTGTTCTTTTCTTTCTTTTACTCATATGTTTATATATAGATTCAGTTTATTCATTCATTCATTCATTCATTCATTCATTCATTCATTCATTCATTCATTCATTCATTCATTCATTCATTCATTCATTCATTCATTCATTCATTTATTCATTCATTCAGTCAGTCAGTCAGTCAGTCAGTCATTCAGTCAGTCAGTCAGTCAGTCAGTCAGTCAGTCAGTCATTCAGTCAGTCAGTCAGTCAGTCAGTCAGTCAGTCAGTCAGTCAGTCAGTC